GAGCTCGAGGATTAAATCGGGCCGACTCGGCGGAGGAAAAATGACGCGGAACGGCCGTAAAAGAGAACGACGCCCCTGTTCATCCGCGTCCACGCTCTATAGAGTGTCCCCCGCGACTCGCGAGATTCCGTTCGCCGTTCCAGGAGCCCGCTTTACGAGGCCGCGGTAAATCGAGGCGAGACATCGCGCTGGGACAGCCGGGGTAACTCGCCCGCGATTCCTGGATCGTCGGTCCGCACGGGAGGGGGTCGCGGCGCGCACGATCCGAACGAGCTCCCCGCGCGGCGGCGAAGGGTTTGGGAACGGCTGCTGCCGCGGAATGAAGTCGGATCATATTTTTAAGATGCAATTTCGACGGGAATCTCTTACGATGTAACAGCTGCCGCCGGGCCACCGTGTTAGATACCCGGCCCGACCCGGCCGGCGTTTCTCGTGAGCTACGACGCGTGGCCGACCGAGGATCCCGCGAGGAAACGCGAGGAACGACTGACAAACGGAACGGCGCACGGCTGAGCGAATAAGGAGAATTCAAGTTTCTAGGGCGGTCCTTGAAATTTCGGGAATCTCGAGCCTTTCTGAACCATCTCCGACTAGGTACGAGTATAAGGGACCAGAAATTTTCTTGTTCCAGCGTGTCTCCGGGAAATAAAGGGAGAGCAGTAACGAGGAACAGTCGCCGATAACACTTCGCGCTCGTACTTCTGGCCGACGGGAACGACTCCGCGCTAAGCTCTGCCCTCGCAGGACACTGGATTTTTCGCGATTTCCCTCGGCGACATCCGTAGGACCGCGTGCCGACACTTCCGCCCGTGAACTTCGACCCGTGGCTCGGGGAACGAGTTCCGGAAGAAGGATAAGCTTACCCACGGTTCCATTAAACGTCCTCCCTTGCGGAATCAGAACGGAAACTCGTGGCCGAACTTTCCCCTCCGAGCCACGGATCCTTGTTTCCCGTCTTCCGTGGATGCGAGAGAGCCCACCGAAATCGTTTCCGTCGGAGAACGCTGATTTTTAATTAGGGAACCGCCGGCACCGCTCTGCTCGCTGGCCGCGAAACAAAGAAGAATAACGGCAATCGCATTACCGGCCGAACAAACGCGGAAACAGCGGACCGACGCTCAACGGGAAAAATTGTATAGACTCTCTCCGTTCGCTCTGATAAATGTAATTTCTCGCCTGCCGCGGTCACAAAGACAAAAGGAACCCGGAGGATTCTTTGATCGTTTCGGTCGTATGCGTTCGCGGGTACTTGCTGAGGTCTGATGGAGATGCCGCGATGTTTGTCGGAGAATCGCACTGTTGAATTTAGGGGAATCAGGGCTGCGCAGCCTACTGGTGCGTGGAGATATTTATTTAACGCCTCGACTGCCACGAGAACTTTTGTATAATTATTATTTCTATCGTTAGATTTTTAGTTATTCTGTTGCTTCCATACCATCGACGCGTTAGAGTAATCAAAAACTTCGACGGTAAAAATAAATACCTTCAATGGGTAATTAGTATTCCAGAGAAGTTTCAGTTTTGATTTTTCACACAGAAAACACTATAATACTAACGCTAATATAATTATTATTTCCATCGTTAGTTTCTTAGTTATTCTGTTGCTTCCATCATCATCAACGCGTCAAAATAAATATCTTCAATGGATAATGAATATTCCAGAGAAGTTTCTGTTTTGATTTTTCACACGGACAACACTGAGAAGCGCCTCGGAGCTTAACGCCTTCGGTGCCATCGACAACCAGCGTAGCGGAACGCAAGCGCAATTTGCGAATAGGGGCTGAACATCGCGCGCGTAGATTACCTGTAACGCTAGCCCCCTTGTAAATTATAGGGTTATGCCGTTGAAGTATACTGTTTGTCCATGCGGCAGATTTTTCTCCGTGGCTCTAGCGTATCGTGTTTCCGAGCGACGCGGAATTTTGCAAGCGACCGGGAGATGCCTAGGGTTTAATAAGGTCGCGCGATATGGGAGGAACGGAACGGTCCTCCGCTATGCAGTCCCCGAGAACTGTAACGGAACTTTGTTAACACCGAACAATTCGGAATTATCCGATGGACACATTTCCAAATTGATTTTCGCGCGGAAGCGAAGCTCAAGTATTTTACCCGCGTATAGTTTCACGTGTTACGTTCTCTTTGCTTCATCAAGTAATCTTGGGAAAATTGTTCACAGAAGAATTCTGTTTACAACAGTTTCCTACAGGTTAATCACAGTACGAACACTGGGTAATTAAGGATTAATACTAGATCTACGGACATTGTATTGTTTAAACGTCATTTAGTAACAGTTTAAGTCGATTTTGATTCGTGCTATTATGCGAGTACGTATTGTAATGCTCCAGCTTTGAACGCGTAGTTTCCTAGGAACAGTAGAATCGAGTGTAGAATAAATGTTCTTGAATTCAACGTTAATAAACGGATGGTATAACTAGCTGGAACTTAAGTAATTCCGTGCACTTACGTCGTGTATCCACGTGAGCTTCGACCAGGGCGGATTGGCTCTGATGTGGCACTCGAAGTAAACGTCGTCGCCTTCCTTGATGTCCTCGGGGCTCAGCGTCGATCCCAAGTTCAGCGAGACGATCGGCGGATCTGCGGGCAAAACCGAGTTAATTAACAGGCACGTTCAATCACGGCCGAGTTAAGGGGCAAATGGGATCCTCGGGAACTCGCGGAACTTTTGCAACCAACGCTGATTCGCCCCGCGTTCATTGGGAATGGAAGAAACTCCCGTGTCCGATAATTGCAAAAAGTATTTAACGGAATTTATTGGTAATTTACGTGTTGGCCGCGCAACATCCGACATCGCGCGTTCATCTTTGTGCTACGTCCTTTCGCGGTTTGCATGCGGGGCGGTGCAGTAATGCTCTGATTAACATTCGAGACATGCTTTCGGAAGCTGAAGGGTCGAGGTAGGTCGTCCTAACGCGTTAACACGTTAACTGCCGCGGAGGTCACTTCCGGTCAAACTCCCGAGTTGCTTAGCAGTTAGACAATGGCGTAAAGAACTGCACCTCCGAACGATTAACCTCTCGTCCTACGATTGCACAACCGTGCTCGATAAAACTACCTAACTACTATTTAAGCCTCGGTCTACCCAAGTCTCGATTTCTATTGAATATGATCCTTAACCCTTTGCGGTCCGAAGTGCTCTTGGTTTCTCAGTTTGAAGTTCACGTCGACGTTAGGTCGTTCAATTGCAGCTTAATACCACGCTCTATTTATTTATTCAAGAATATTTCGGAGTCATTGAAATGTTACCTTTGAATGGTACAATTGTGATACTACAAATAAATATAGAAAAAATTGTTAAAACAGGTAGAGGTTGCAATGAAATAGACTGACTCGAGTCTGACTCGACATAGGACTGCTAAGGGTTGAAACGCTTTCCGTGGTCAACGCGATATTATTCAGTTCCGAATGACAAAAACGTCGCATCGATTCTTCGCGCAATCCTAGCGCTTGATTCGCATCCGAAAGGCATCCTCGCTGTAGACGCGAGAGTAGCCAGGAATAATCTTAATCCGAAACGCTCGCCGCTTTCGTTCGTGGAAACAATGTTCCCGTCGAATCGCCGGAGGGACGCGTAATCTCTCGACGGAACGAACTTTTTCCTGCTCCTTATTTCGCGGGACACAACGCGGAGGTTGTCGGGCCGTCGTTGTAGCGAGTCCCGAGGACTCCGATCTCGAAATTCCCGGCAGCCGCGCGATTTCCTCGGCAGCCGGCTACGTCCTCGAAGAACTGCTAGTTTCCCCGTGCTCCTTGTATCTCTCATTTACCGTCTTCATTAGTTTAATCATAGCGGGCCGCCCCTCCTCCCCCCCTTATCCCGTTTCCTCTCCGTGGAGTTTATTCTTCGGGCGTTCTCGCAGGATTTAATCGTGCGCCACGATAAATTCCCTCCCCTTTCCGGGTGTCTTCTTTTCCCGCGCGCGCCCGGCTCGGCTCTCTCTCTCTCACTGTCTGTGTTCCGGTCTTTCGAGAGATAGTATTAATTAGCTCGATCGCGTCTCTCCCCCATGATCCTCCCGTTGTTTTTTAACCCCGGGCCGTTCGCTGCATCGTTCTCCCGTCCATTGTTTTTCGTAGCTCGTCCCAGGTTAGCAGGCTAGAGTCCTCCTCCGGGATTGCAATAAATTCCGTCCCCCGACCGCCGCCCTCGGTCTCTCCCCGGCTTTTCATTTTCTTCTGGCGGATCGGCCGGGCTGCTCGCGCGGACGGAAACGGAGCCCGTACACGAAAAACCCCGTCTCGACGTGTAATGCGTAATTTCGAGGACGGTCAGCGTAATTGGATACGCGACGGGACGTCATTTCCCATTCGCCCCGGTGCCCGCCTCGCTCCCCGGGAACCGTGGCTGAGCTATTAGCTTTCCTCCGAGCGTCGATGCGCGGTAGAAGCGAACCGACGCCGACGACTTCCCGTTGTCCCTCCGCCTCGTTTCCGGTCCGGTCGCGTCCACTTCAATTTTGGTAAGTGGCCCCGAAACAGAAGAAGCGCCGCCTCGGGAGGGACACCGGGGCCGGGCCGCGATCGATCCGCGCTCCTCCCTTCGTCCCCGAACTTCCTCGTATAATTTAGCCGCGCGAACTCGAAGAACTTGGAATCGCTCCGAGCGGCGTTCCAATTGAAAAATGTTTAAGACTCCCGGGACAACTAACCGTGCTTTAACAAATTTAAGACTTCGGCCGCCGACCGAACTTCCGTTAAACGTCGCCCCCGTTACACCCGCGCCGCTTTTCAATTATTTTCCGGCCGAGTAAGGGACAGCCGCGAGAGCGGCGGCGCCCCGCTCCGGTGATCCTCTTCCCATCGGTCTTGGAGCGGTCGTTGCCAAATATGAGCGTGGCCGAATAAATTCCCCGGCCAGCCGATAAACCGGGCTGGCCATCAGCCTGGGCACGGCCAGCTTCCGTGCAGCAGGTGTGTCCGGTGTAATAAATAAAAATAATCTCGTAAAAAACGTATATATTCATGGTCGCGTGATCCCGCGCAGCAGCGACGCCGTCGCCGGCCCGGTGTGCGCCGTCGTCGCGTCCGTCGATCGTTTCGGTTTTACGCGTCCCGGTGAATTCGGAACTGCTCGCGAGGAACGAGGCGCGCGCGGAGGGCCACGGGTTTTTTAAATTCCCGCAGCTGAGGTCGCGTTAGAATCACGTACCGCGGCGAGACGAGATCGCTGCGCGACCAAGGACCGAGCGACGCGAGGCGATTTCTCGTTCGAATCAACTATCGCTGTATCTTGCGCAGCTACTCGCTTCGATAATTATGCGAGACAACTATCGAACGCATTAGTCGAACTCGTAACGGGAGAAGGCAAACCGATTTGAACTTTCCGCGATACGACCTATAAACGCGACGTTATCGCGTTCGCGGCGTTATCAATTCAGCGACACCGTGCAGCGCGGTCCAATTAGAATATAGAGTCGCTCCATTCGTTCACCGACAAGCCGACGACAATTCTATAAATAATCCGTCCACTCGTGACAACGCCGTAATACCATCTAAACCCGAGGATATACGGCTATCGCAAGGCGAACCGTGAAAACCGGTAGATCGAATCGAGAGGAAAGAGAACCGGGAAGAAAAGAAAGTATACGTCCGTAGCTACGAGATCGTCTGAACCGCGCGAATTCATTGGCCGCGCCTCCCGTCCGCTTTACGAGCTGTCCTTGCCCGTATGCCGGCTGTATATACGTATATATCGCGCTTTTTCCCTCGCGCCGCTTTACGATCAACCAGATTACCGAACAGGTTCCGCGTAGGTGCGCAACGATCGGTCTCGCTGAATTTCGGCAGTAATTCGTCGGAAATCCGGTCCGGAGGCCGTTTTATTGTGGCCGTAAAAAAAAGGAGAACAGAGGGGAACGCGTGGGCGGGGCGAGGCGAGCGCAGTCGGCTCGTAAATCGGCCGATTTCACGACGCGGCTCGATGGAAGATGAGACCCGGAACCGGCCGATGCTTTATTCCTTTTACGACACGGATCTCGCGCGATGCGTACGCGCGCATTAAGCCCTGCGCGGAAGGGAGGGCGGAACGAGCAGCGCGGAATAAGTTTTCGAACCCGGCTGGAATCATCGAATATGCATTTAACGTCACGTACCGCTCGTAAAAGGTCGGGGGTCGGGACGCGGCCGCGGGAATCGCAGCCGCGGGAAGACCGCTGGAAGATAGAATATATATTTATCGTCTACTTACAGACGACGTCGATTTTCCAGGATTTCTCGACGAACAGCCCCGTCACGTTCGGATTTTCGGCCCTGCAGGTGATCGACTTGCCGTGGTCCTCCACGCCGGGCTCGAACTCCACCATGCTCACCGTGCGGTTCTCCGTGCGCTCCTCCTGCGTGACAAACGCCGTTTCCGGTTAAAACGAGAGTACTGGCTGCACGATTGTCGGTAGCGACGGAGTCGACCGAGTGAAACGAATCACGCGTTAGAACGATAATCCGACTAATTAATCGTTCGCGGACGTTAACAGTATGCAATTAAAGTCGTTCGAGGGTTACAGAGGACGAATAGAAAATTGTAGCTTGTTTCCTAAAATGATTCCATTAAAGTGGATTCTAAAGTACAAATCCGTCGAAATTTTAATAAACGCCGTGCAAGAAACTGTAGGTCAGTTTGATCGCTCGATAGCTCCACCGCGAATCGAACGAGAATTCCAAGTGGCGTAACCCAAACGCGACGCAATCGGCGCCGCGCCGTTGGCAGTCCATTTTTCACTCGCCGCTTGCTGGGAATATTCGCGAAAGTGAGTTTCCTTTCCGTGGGCAGTCCCTTAACCGTTCCCTTGAGAGCCGGGCGACCGTAAACGGTCTCTCTCCCGAGCGTGCGACGTAATTTTCGAAAATAATAATTCCGCAGCCGGTATCGCGTGCGCTCCCTTTGAATCCATGGGAGGACGTTCTCGCTTCCAATTCCGTGGCGCGCAAGATGGCGAGAAACGGGAGCGGCGAGGGGAGCGGGAAGATAAAAAGGGGAAGAAGAATATGGCGGAACGAGTTCGACGGCACGGGGGTATGGTTAATTTTGGTTATATTAAGGTCGAGAGGCGGACCGTAAGCAACGTCGGCAACATCTGCTGGAAACTCATTCCTGCTAGCCCGGACTCGAAAGGACCTCGAGTCCTGCTAACGCCCTGGAATCCTTTCTAAAGAGCCGCGCCGGATTCCGCCGAGCGTGAATTTTACCGGCAGCTTCTGACGCCGCGCTGCGCGGCTCTGCCGCGTCTACGTCCCGTTTTTCTATTTATCTTTCAGCGGTGCGCCGAGCCGGCCTCCCGCGCCGTCATCGGGAAAAGAGCCAGTCGGTTACTTCGACCCGGAATTCCGTTTCAAAGCGTGTCAACCGATACACCCCTCGGCGCGCGGGTCGCGCGAAAGCGAGCGTCAAGGGGGCTCGGAACTTTCTTCGTCCCCCTCGGACGCGCTCGTGTTTCCCTCGCTTCCTCTACGGCGTATTGCGTCCGGCTACCGGTCAAAGAGCATTCGCGCCGGTATGACGCGCGAATGACTGTTTGCATTGATTCGCTATGGATCCGATGGGAATCACTTTTGGTCCGGGCGCGAACTACGGTGGACAGGATTGTGTCGCGGAAGAACCCTTATTTGACTACTGTACGCCACTATGGTGGCTACCGCGTATATCTTTTCGAACGAACGCCGCGGTGGTCCTTTGTCATCGATAGTCGTCGTTACAGTCGAATCTAACGCCAAGCAAGGAAATCCCGCGGTCCGACTTGCCGGTGTTGTATCCCAGTTTTTCCAGTTCGCTCTAATTTCCGTAGCTCGAACGTTCTCGCGGCGCGTCGCGGCGGCAACCGGTGAGCGCGAGACCGCGAAGCCGTTGCGAGTGGAAGGGGGAGAAAGGAAAAGGGAGAAGGTAAAGCGTAAAGCTCGTTGCGGAATTTCATTTCGAAATATTTATACGGTCTTAAGCGCGCCGATGTGGCCGCGGACAGGGAATAAAGATAATATATCGCGCGATTATACGCGGCTCCATCGCAGTTTTCTCGGAGCTTTCGCCGCCGCTAACGAAACGCTTTCTGGCCGGGGCCACGTAATACGAAGCTCGCGGCGAACGCCTAAAGACAGCCCGGACGACTATATAGGATAATCAGGATGGTAATGCGATAGAAGCGGTCTACGTGTTCCGCCGCTCGTAGGATCTGCTTACGTTAATATCTGTCCTCGCCTCCGTTCGACCCGTTCGCCATGCTGCCGGCCGTCTCGCTCGGTTCGCCGGCGCCGAGCAGCCCTTTCTTCCCGCCGGATCCCCGGGACCAACGATCGTCGGTTCCTCTTACCGTCGCTTATACGGCGCGCAAAGCCTCGGCTATATTTTATTATCCGCCGCTTAGAAGCCGCGCCGTCCCGCGCGCCTCCGCGGCGCGAATTTTAAGAAGGCACGTCGCCACCTTCATCGTCACCGCGGGAACGAGCCACGACGTCCCCTTATCGTCGCTCTCCTTCACCCCTTTAACAGCTTACCGTTCCACCCCTCCCGCCCGTTAGATCCTCTCGATCTCTGTCATCGCACGGAAATCCTCCGCGTCGGGTTCCTCCGTCTGAGCGGGGAACTTTGATTATTTCTCGTGGCCTTTGGTCCGGCTTTCGGGACAGGGGAAGAAAAGAGATTGGTTTAGGGTGACGGTAACTGATTCCCGTGAGCGTTCACCGGTTCCTCGCCTCGACGCGTATCCATGTCTTTCGATCTCGCTGCGGTCCGAACCGCGGACCGGTCCTTGAAGCGCGATCGCGAAAACAACGTGGGCGAATAACAAATTTACATAATGTTAATGAACATGGAACGTTAATACACGCGCCGTTACCGTTCCCACAACGATCTCGAAAAGCCAATCTGTGTGCCAGCTCCGCTGTTAATTAATATATTGTTTATCCTCCCCTTCGATTGCCTCATTCAACGGCTCTCACCCATATTAATTGGTTTACCAATCCGTTATTAATAACACCGCCGAGTGGAATTCCACGGGCGCACCGGAGAGGCGTCTCGCGGATGGTGCTCCCGATAAAGAGCTATATCGGGCCCGTTCAACGCCGCCCCCGCGGGACGTTACTGTTTCGGACGTATCCCGTCAAGGCGGACAGGCCCGCGTCGCGGCGGCGATCGTCGGGATATCGCGATCCGCGAGCGGCCCGGGGATTCATTAAAATTCCCGGTGTACCCTGAATATTCGATGCGCGGCCGGCGATCCGCTTCCATCGGCGAATCTTCACACGTATCCGGCCCTCGCGCGCCGCCTCCTCGTCAAAGAATTTTAATCTCGCCGCGCGAAAAGTTCGCCGGAGGGTTTCAACCGGTTGGCCCCGTCGCCACGGAGACGGCTGTTTTGCTCGAATTAGAATTCCGCCGCGTTTCCATCGGTGGCTGTCGTTTACTCCGTTAATCAGTCTGTGCAGCGGAGTCTCGGCCCTCGCGGGGCGGCGCGGGGGGGACGAGCGGGAGGAATATTGCGACTGCTGGCGCAGGGACACGAGGCGAGGCGAGGCGAGGCGAGGCGTCGTTAAGCGTTGCGGCCACGGCTTGTTAATGAACTACGCGAAATTAATTAGGGCCGCGCGTCAGCGTGCCGGAGACAACGGCAGCTCGGCGCTCGCCGCGTGCGCGCGCACGTGCGCCGCTGGTTACATCTGTGATTCCGGATTATCGATAATGCGTGCGTGCGCGCCGGCCCTCGGGCCTAACCATCGTGATTTAGGTCCGAGCGTATCTGCCCGCTCGGCCGAACAGGAGATTACCTTGGACACCGGCAAGATTACCAGCGATTTCCAGGCGAGGCCTGTCCGCCGCGGACCGAGGATCTTCCCTCGTCGTCGCGTACGTTCCGCTTCACGTCCCTAATATTCGTTGATCTTGGCCCGCTTTAACGCGGCGGCCCGTCGTTGTTCATCTGGTAGCCGTGAGTTCGGATAATCCGTTTAACCGGGGACCCCGCCGGACGGGAATTTCTTATCAGGAGTTTCTTGCCTTCGCGGTAATCGCAATATTCCAGGATTCCCCCGAACCGGAAAATCTTGGATGAAGGGTTCCGAGTGCGTGGGCTAGTGTATTCGCGTGGGAGTTCGGTTTACCGAGAGAAAGCACGCGCGAACGAGGGGAAGTCGGATCTTTAAGGGTGGCTGACGGGAATAGAACGAATGGGTCTGAGCGAATCGTCGAGGGTATAAAGAGTCCTTTGTCCGGCGATCCTTATAGTCAATTTATTTTTCATCGTTACGAGACAGTATCTTCGTCGAAGCTCGTTCGATTTCAACGGCGCCAGGCGGGGCTCGCTTCGAGCCGGTCGCGGACTCCACCGCGCACGAACCGTTTATAACCGATAGACACAATTTTTCTAGCCGTCCGCCCCTGCCAACAGTTCCGCCCTACTTATTCCCTAATGGAGGCATAGGCTAATCGGCCGAGTACTCCCTGGATTGCTATCCAACCCGAAAACCGCGATAACTGTCACTGTTCATCGCTCTTCCCGGCGTGCCGCGCCCTGGCCATCGCGTCGGCCTGTCAGCCGGAGCAGAAATACGCGAAGAAGCCGAGCGGCTTATCCCGGTATTCCGAGGAATAAGCGGAAATGCACTGCTTCCCGGCGCATACGTTATCGGCGGGCATCGAATATTCCGCTCGGGCCAGACGCCGATTCTCGCACCGGGAACGGGCTTGAAAGGGCTCCGCTAACTTCGTAACGTATCGCGGAGTTCGATGGAAACCGGTAGTTATGGCGTCCGTGGCTCCGCGTCGGAGTCTTTCTCCTCTCATCGACGTTCCATTTCCGCGGCGCAATTTGCGCTCCCGCCGATACTGGATCAAGCTGGAACGGTTATCAGTTCCGACGTACCGGAAACGATCTCTCCCCCGGAGCCCCTGTATCTCGGAGTTTTCGCAACGCCGGCGAAACAAACTCGATGCAAATACTTTCCCCGGCGTCTCCGATCCGCGCGGAAGGTTCCAGCTCCGCAGGTTCGTGCCTCGACGTTTGATTATTCAAACCACCGGCGATTCCTTTCGGCGGGGCAGGAACAACGTTTAGAAGAAACCGATTCCCAACCCTCTCAGACGTCGAGCGCCGGCCCGAGGTTCGTTTTCGACCGGAACACGGCTCGCCGTTGCATTATTGGAAATATCGAGTATCGCGGTTTCGAGTCCGGCTCTCTCTTTTGGATCGACCGCTCGGCTCCGCCGTCTCCCGAAACGCGAGAGCTCCCGGTTTCCCGGGCTCCGCGAGTTACGACTCGATCCTGCGCTCGGACTTTCCTCGCGGTCGAGTAAATCTTCCGATAAGAACGTCGTCGATTTCTCCGCGCAGCTGGGAACAACGGTCGCTCCGGTGCTATTGTAATTTCCGCAACTATACGAGGATCGGTCTAGTTCCTGCTTCGCGGACGTCCGAATAAATAAGAGAATCGGCTCGACGCTGCCCGACTACCGTATTGACTTTATTATCCGCGCGGAGCGGGAAACTCGATCGTCTTTGCTCGAGGGACAGGCATTTTTGTCCCGTTGCTGAAACTGCTATACTTCGTTCCATTATATTACAGGTTCTCGCACATATCACACTGTCGTCACCTCCACTTTCTTACATTCATCGTAATCTCCGCGCGGGCACAGTTCGACGACACAGCGCCGAAGGTTCGAAAAATCGGAGATTCTGAGGAATTGTTTCGTAGGAACCCCTGTTTCCAGCGAATCAACTCCGACAGTGGCTAAAGCCAGGTCCCGTCGCGAAATCGTGCGGCGTTATCGCAGTGAGATTTTAAGAGGCTGCTGAAATATTCAATTGTGCACGGCAAAAAATGTACACCGGCCCGACAGAAACTATGCGGCGCATTCGTTTCACCTGGAGCGAAAAGAGACTCGATGCGAGCCCACCGCTCGTAGGATCAGCTACGGTTGCGGGGCTAGGTAAATATTCATGCAAAATCCCACTCTCTCCCTCTCTCTCTCTCTCTCTCTCCCTCCATCAGCTCTCGCCGCGCCGCGCCCTGTTACTTTTCAGCAAACAGTGAAATTAAATATTTTGCGCGGAGAGGCCAGCGTTTCGTAATAAACGCCAGTGGAGTAGTTACGCGTAATCCGTGCGTAAACGCGAAAGCGCGAGGCTGTGTGCTTCCGGTCCGCGCCCGGTGAAGGATTCAACTTCAACGTTCGCACCGTTGCGTGGCCTCGTGGCTCATTCACAAAAAACGCGGCGCGCGAGCGCGAGCACGCTGGGAATCGGGGGATCGGTTAATTGGCAATTAGCATGCGGTCGATGAAGATATCTGGAGTCGACAGGTGTGGCCGCTTAATTCAATCGGCGCGGCCTCGGAAGCACAGACCCTCCAATCGTATCTTTCATCCTGCCGCGCTTTTACCTCCGCCCTTCGCCGCCCACCGCCGCCCACGTCGTCGTTCCGGGCTCGCGCAATCGGATGCGACTCGAACCTAGTCGAAACCAATCCGTTCGAGGGGAGTGTTGCTGTAAGGAACTTCCACGAAATATGTCGCGGAAAAGCGTCGGGAATTTCCCCGGAAGTTATATGAATCTACTTGGAGATGCTCCGTTATTAACCCTTTGCGCCGGCAAGTTTCACCTTGGAAATATCGGACGTTATCCGATGAGACTTGGACGATACTTTTCTGAGTTAACGCTGGGACTGCTGTAACGGTCGAAATGACCGATCTCGGTTCCTTCGTTTCGCAATTGTTGATATCTTCGGAGCGTTGGACATTCGAAACGATCTTCGGAATAGTTTCACTTAAATACTGAACGTTTGAGAAAATCGCATGACAAATATTCATTACTTTCTGATGAAATATCAATGATATTCTTTGCAACTAACACAAAGGAATACCTTGCATAAATTAAGTGACAGAACTATTTCATTTTGATGTTCCACGTGTTGATACATTATATAAAGTTCAATATTGGATCTTAAATTTTATCATTTTGCTCGGTCGAATCAAATGGCGACTGAAAGGCGCCTCTCGAGTGCAAAGGGTTAAGCGGTGTCTTAAGAAATGATATGCATAAGAAGCTATTCGGGTGGTTCATCGGTGAAAGCTGCCTTCCTTACTTCCGAGAGTTCCGAAATCGAACGATCGATGTATACCTTGCTCACGATATTTCATTAAACCGGTCCAATTTTCAGCAGTTAATCAATTTGCCGTCCGTTGCCTCCTTTCTTTTCCCTTCGGCCGGTCCCACGGCTCGGCGCCATCTTGTTCGGCGCCTCTCCGTCCAACCAGACCGCTTTGACTATGTTCCCGCGCCTACGAACCTCTCCCCAGGGAAAGATTCGCCGCCGGGGGGTACAGTTATCGGTTCCCCGGGGCGTTTCGACCTTTTCAACCGTCTTTCTCTTCCTCCCCCGCTTCATCCGGCGTCGAGCCGCGACAGAAGCTCTCCTCCTGGGGAGCTACAATTTTTTTCTCTCGCTTCTCCGCTGTCGGCGACATTTCTCTTTCTACGCGACCGACCGCCGCAAAATGGAGGCAGCCGCGGTTTAACCGCCGTGTCCTTGAGAACACTCTTTGCCGCGACGCGTCCCGTCTCGCTTCGTTTCGCGCCGACACAAATCCGTCGCAAACTCCTCGTTAGTGGGCCGACGAGGCTCGTTAGCAGGTCCGATCGTTTTTCAATCGCGAGAACTCGGAATCGCTGACGAGTGTCGGGCCAACTGTCCGTCAGCGCGGAACGAGTACACGCGGAAACAATCGTCCGCCGATTCGAATCGGTCTCGCGGCGCCGCTCGAACGCGTACCGATCGACAGCGCGCCGGAACAGAAGCTGTCGACGCGCGACGGTTTAATAAGACTTGAAATACGCGCGACGTGGAAGCTATTTTTCTGGAAGTTCTATTTCTAGCCGGGCGATGGACGAATTGGTAACTCGTTCCCTTCGTGTCTCTGTAACATACGATCCGTACTACATTTTACGAAGGCACTTCGCGAAAAGGTGAAACCGTCGCTGTCCCAACGTAAAATCTAGAGGAAAGGGCCAAGACGTTTCTCCTCTGAATTTAGGTATCGATACATTCAATACACGCAATAACCTTTTAACCCTTTGCACTCCAGAGGTGCCTCTAAGTCACCGAACGATTTGACACGGCAAAACTTTAAACTTTGATATTTAACGTTAACCCTTTTTTCGCAACAAATATTCCTTATTTTCTGATGAAATATCAATGGTATATTTTACAATTAATATAAAGAAATACCTTGCATGAATCAAGTGACGGAACTATTTTATTTCGGTGTTCCATGCGTTGGTAGATTATAGAAAATTTAATATTGAATTCTAAATTTTATAATTTTATTTAATCAAATGGCGAGTGAAAGGCACTCGAGTGCAAAGGGTTAAACTTCGTATAATGCATCAATGTACGAAATATTGAAAATAGTTCTCTTCCTCGATGCATGCGAGATTTCTTAATTCAATCGAAGGAAATGTTTGTATCTCAGAAAATATTGAATATTTCCGATGAAGAACTTGTGGAGTGCAAAGGATTAATCTCTGAACCTACCACCACCCTTCCTCGTGCCCCATCCTACGATTATAAAGTGTCCGATACGTAAAACACATTTAGGCCGCAGTTTCCAGCATCTTCCGCGCGGAATTCCTTCGAAGGACTCGCGTCGCAGAGATTTTCTCCGATCCAGGCAGCGCATCGAACCGCTTGCGCTCGTCAACGCGCACCGCGGAGCGTAATTCACGGGGCGGACGGTCCAATTGAGATTTGAAGGAAGCGAAATTGGAATACCTTGGCGTCGCGACGCGTCGCCGTATTTCATCGGGGCCGCGTCCAGCCGACCCTCGAGCCACGCGGCGACGTTGGCGACGCGACGGTGACGACGGGGGGACCACCGGTTAATTAACGAACGCCGGCCGAACGCGCGCCGGCTATAATAAGCAGCTTAGCTGTTAATTAAATGCCGCGCTGCCTTTTGTTCCTCCGCCGGGACACGACAAATTTCGTTAAGGTGATGCGCTAATAATTAGAAAGCGATAGCGGGCCGGATTATCGGGCTCCAGTCGCTCGAATAATAGTCCGGCGACCTGCTCGCCGCGTCCCCGGGACAGGGGAATATTTTCGGCCGCCGGGGATGTCGGCAAGTTAACGCTCCGGCCGATAATTCTGCTAAATTGATCCCCGTGTCGCGAAGTTATCGCGGTAAATCGGATCGACGCGCGCCGGATATTCACGGGACACGCGTGTTACATCGCGAGCACGGTTCCGCGTGATCTTCGGCCGCGTTCGTATTAAACCTACACGAACGGACTGAAATCGCGTGTACGTGGAGCTTCCGGTTTACGTTTACTCTTCTATACATTCTCAGGATATCTGTATGTACATCCTCTGTCGTATTCGTGATCTACGGAATCTTGGACAGAGGCCTATTTAACCGTTTGCACTCGGAGGTTTTTCTCGAAAAATATTTTAACGTTTTCTGATGAGATAGAGACAATATTTTGTGAAACTAACTCGACGAGAAATTATACGCACGTTGAGGAACAAAGCTATTTTATTTCAATATTTCTGAAGTTTTGTAGTTTTACTATATGAATAACGTGGTGAGCGAGAGTCGCCTCCCGAGTGCAAAGGGTTAATTGTTCTCGAATAGAATTTAACTCTTTGCACTCGAGAGGTGACTCTCAGTCACTCGATCTGATACAGCGAAACCATGAAGTTGAACATTTAGTACTTTGAATTTACCTTTGTATCGCTATGCGAAATATTTAAATAAAAATGCTTTGTTGTTTAATTATCTGTGAATTTTTAAATTAAGTTAAATTAGTTTCAAACAATATCGTCTACAGTTGGAAAATGTTGGATATTTCGAATGAAAAACTTCCGAGCGCAAAGGGTTAAATACTCTATGTAACTATCCTTGTATGCACTGACTCTCACAAGTGAATTTATTCGTCATCAATGATACAGTCTCTAACGCTAGAATTACCAAGCAATAAGACAGAGCTATTCATTCGTTGTAAGAATTCAAAAGCAGATTTCTTGAGATTAATTTCATTACGATTGTTAAAAGCAGCGAAATAAGAATCTTGGAATCGGTGATTCCGACTCGCCTGGTAGTTCCAGTGTCGAGAACAGTGATCGATCTCCCCCCGACACACCGTAAGCAACGCATCAACGAATGATCGGCATTCCTACTCACCGTGGTGTGCTTCAGCTGTCTTCTCCGTCCCTTGTACCACGTGATCACCGCCGGCGGCCTGGATCCGGTGGTCTCGCACTCCACGTCGTACCGTTTCCCAGCCAATAGAGACTCGGTCCCGACTCCCATCTTCCCCGGCCTTCTTATGATCACCGTCAGCGGTTTCACTGGGAATCAAAAGTCCGATTAATTCGCCGTCGACGGATAGAACCCCGGGGTTTCGCTCCGAACGCACGAACGATCCCCGTCGGAGGCACATAATACGCGGTCCAACCCTTTCATCCCTCCGCTCGCCGGTTTTTCTCGAATCACCGAGTCCCGCAATCACGCGGCCCGACGACGCTAATCGGTCGCGATAATTAAAGCGAGCCGATAATTAAGGCGGACAAACCCCGGCGCGCGGGGCGCGGCGGGTAGGCACCACGCGAGTTCGATGCAAATCGTGCGGCCGATTCGAGGCTGCAAAAACCGACGAGCGATCGATCGGTTGCCGGTCATTTGTCATTTTCGGGCTTGTTACGCGCGATTCGCGTGTCGCGGAAAAAGCGCCGCCCGTTTTCTGGCTCGATCGAACGAACAGCGGAAGAACGAGGAGGTAGACGAAGAAAAAGGAGAACCGGCCGGCGAATTATTCGGCGATCCGTCGCGCGAGATTGCGCGCGGCAACGATCATCGCTCGTCGGTAAACATTGATTTTTCCGCGTGCGTGTGAACGCGCGAAACGACGTTGTTCCACGGGCTCCGTGGGCAGGCGACGATCGCTTTGACGGACGATAAATCCGCGTTTCCAATTGGCCAATACCGAGCCAGATACGATCCGCTCGCCCGTGAAATATGAAAACTATGAGGACGCGTTCCGTGACGCGAGCCGACGCGACGCGACGTTCGCGTGTGTTGGCCCCGCGCTCGGCGATAGCCATTCGGATCGCAGTTTCGAGGCCATTCGGTGTTTTCAAGACTGCCGAAACGCGACGCGAATGGGATTCTATACCTTTCGACGCTCGAACGCCTCGCGGAGTCTGGAGCTCTTGGAAATCTTCAATTCGAGCGGAATATTGGTCTCGTTTACAATGCGCGAGTTTCACGCGTGTAGACCGCTCGGGTCCCAAACTTCCGAGACTAACCGCGGAACTTGTCGAACCCGGAAATTCGAAAAATTAAGAAACTTCGCGTGCAAGTAGAGTAGGTCGAACATTGCAATTTTGTCTTTCTCGCCGAATTCCACTTCGCAGGGGTGAAACCACCCCTTGATAAAATGCAAATTCTCCTTTCCCGTGTATTATCACGAGAACGCCGAGAGATACCGAAAACAACTTTAATTTATTTTTGTTTAAACTTTCCCCGTTACTTCTGTTTCCGTTGTTTTCCCTTTCCCTGCGTTCACCGTCCCCCGAAACGATTGCGCGGCCTGATAACCGGTCGGCGCTCGCTCGGTCCCCCGCTCGCCGATAATGAGTTTCGATATTCCCCTCGTCCGTTCTTTCAAAGCGGACGATTCCTTCCGGTCGGCCCGGTTCTCGGTGGTTCGTTCGTCCGCTCGTATCGGCCGGCCTCGTTACGGCTCGTCCCCGCGAGAATCACTTTTCGATTTTATGTTAACGAGCCTCGCCGCGCGGCGTTAC